GAAGCACAACAAAAAGACAGACCTTTGTCAAAAAGCACGTTTATTTTTTTGCATTGGATGTGCAGAGCTGTACTGTGTGTTTCGGTTTTGCATCCAGGGTTTATTGTAACTGCTTTGGTCGTACATGCCTGGAATATATGATCAAACTGTTTGCAGCCCCAACTGAAATTTATTTTGCGTCATTCTTCTCTCTCTGTCTCTCTGTCTTACTCATCTGGTCATTTGGAAAGCTCTCATTTGCACATTTAAAAGTAATTTCAGTTTTTTTTTTTCCTTGTCTACAAATTCCAGAAAACAGATCTGATTATTGCTGCTTGCATTTGATTTAGGCTGTGATTATAACTACAGCACTTCCAAACATTCAAAATTCATGAATTCATCTATTCCCAACCCTAAATGGTAAAATGTTAAATACAATAAATGTGGGAGTCTTCATTTTCCTTCTGCCTTTTGAATCTTTCAAATCAGCCCATATTTTCAAGCTTTTCTTTATGGCCATGAAAGTTACAGGCTTTCTATCCCCCAGATCAATTTGGTATCCAATTTTCAAACACAAATATGAGTGGTAAAGAATAGGCATAGAAAAAGTTGCTGAGAATCCTTGTGAGCTGTCTGCAATCTCCAAGTAGTATAGGCAAATAACGCTGTTATAATAACTGCTGCTAAATAACAGCAGATTAGAAGCTGTATAAAAATATTCACATCCCAAAGCCAAACACGCTAAACTCACTGTTTGGGCAGAGAAATTTTTGGCATCCTTACTGAAAAGCAGCTTTGCTACACCAAAAAAAAAAAAAAAAAAGGAAAAAAAAAAAGAAAAAGAAAAAAGGAAACTCATTTCCCTACTGGATTCTCTCCTGCTTGTTGGAAAATTACACGAGGTTGTGCCTTGCAGGTGTTACAGCTAAAGCTTCGGTAAATTAAACAAACTATCTGGTTAAAGCAATTCATTCGACAAAAACAGGAACTGCAGTGGATTGTGTTTCCATCTCTGAAACCCAAAATGGAAGGATAAAAAATATTGTCTCGGAAACCCAAAATGGGATCACAAAATAAGCTCGCATGAAAGCCTGGAAATGCTGCATCCCACGGAAAGATGTGAGCATCATGTGGGCTGGAGGACGGAACAGGACAGGGGGAGGGATGAAATCTCCCAATTTATTCTTCTTGCTCTAAGCTGGCTTTTAATGCGAACATAATTTACAGGGACTGAGGATGAGTTTTGAAACAGACAGGCTGTTGAATCCTGAGACATTTCCACCCACTCTGTTTTTACTGCATAAATCGAAGCTTGCCTTTGCTCGGCAGCAGTATTGTAGCAACATCTAGGAGTTCAGGTCAGTGATTGAATCGTCTTTGAGCTGGCTGCCCAGCAAAAAACAAATCCTCCAGAGTGGAAAGTTCCTGTGCTGTGTACCTGGCCCAACAAGAATCACCCAAAGGTGCAGGCATGGCTGGAGCTGCCATCCTGCCAGCCCAAAATATCACTGAGGACCAAGACTGCCGAGCTTCTCAGTTGAGCACATCCATCCTGTTAGCAAATAGGCGAGCAAAACTTGTCTCTCTGTATGCAACAAATTCAGCCCAGTCTGAAATAGCTGACGTTGGCTCCAAGAGCACCTCACCTGCTGCTCGTGGACACAAGGTGCCCCAGCGCTGCACCAGCGTGATGCCTGCAGGTTCTGACCTGGCCTTCAGAGAGAAACTTTGCTGACAAATCCATATTTCTTCAAACAGATTAATTGCTCTGGCATAATTGTAATTTAGCCCAGAGACATCTTTCTCTGAATATTCTACAAGATGTACATCTGTGAACCCAGTATTAAAGCCTTCTGTACAAGAGGAGGAGTAACAAAATACATCAGAACCAGCAGAAATGAGCTTAGACCTCTGAAATGTTTATGAATAGCTAAACAAATGAGGGCAAGAAAGTATTTTGTTTGCAAGGTCAAATAACCCAGGAACTGTAAAATGGATTACATGATGAACTAAGACAGCTGATATATTTGTAGTATTCATACTTGTGCTGTAACTGCATTAATTAGGGTAACTGCGTGATATGAGGGGGGTCTCAGGATTTAACATAATAATTGAGACGTGACCTCTCTCTGTAATGCTCAGAAATTAGCAATGCATCATTTGTGCTTTTAAGACCTGCAGTGTCTTCAGCTCTGCCCAGTGTTTACGAAAGCAATTGCAACTGTGCAAAATAAGCCAAAAAGACGGAAAGTGCTGATCGGATCAGAACTGCAGTGGCGTCACTTGGCTCTAAAGCTGCAGGCAAAGGCTTTGGTGTAGCTGCAGAGGAGGGGAACTTTTCTTTTCTTCTATATTTCTTAAAACCTGTCAGCTTCTCAGACCTGCTGGCACAACTGCATGTGCTCACCAGCTCTCCAAACAACATGCATGGGAAAAGCTCCAGTGCCACCAGTCACCTCCCCAGACCGCTTTGCTGGGAGTGGATGGATGTGCGGGGAGAGGAGAGGAGGAGCAGCCTCCTCATAGCAAGCCTCAGCCGTGGCCTGGCCTCTGTGATGCCTCCTTTACTGCTCTGCAGGGCATGGGGATGGGCACACTGGGGCAGGCCCGTGCCTCCCTGGCAGTGGATGGGCCTCATGAGGCACCTGGGAGGTGTCAAATGGGGTAGGGATCCACAGGTAGTGGTGCTAGGCTGGAAGTGCTCCACTGCTGGGGCTGGGCAGGGCCTCCTGCTGCAAAAGGCAGAGGCTGACATGCTGGGGTTCCTGCAGGATGCCACTGTCCCCTGGGGGTGTGGGGATGTGGCCCAACCTGCCACAGCAGACCGAAGGGAACTTGATTTTCCCCATGCGGGAGTTTTCCTGAGATGGAGATCTCAGTTCGGTTTTATAACCAGGCAGATATCAATAACCTACATCTCACTACAGAAAGGATTTTTCTTCTCGTTTAGAAGGCTCTCTATATTTTTATCCAAGGGCTAAAGTAGACAGGAGGGAAACACTGGAAGAGAGAGAGAGAAGGCAATTCTGGAAAAATGCTTTCAGAGATTTCCCCAAGCACAAATCCACTTTTCTTCTGCCCTTCTGCTTTCACACCCAGTCACCTGACTCCGTCTCTCTTTGCTGTATTTCACCAGAAATAAAAGCTGTCACAATATTTCCCCTCCAAGTGCCACTGGTTATGAGGTCTCAGATCTCGGCAGGTGGATGAAACGCCAGCTCTGTTAGAGGCAAACGAAAACCGAAGGTGTAAAATGGCTCAGCATCATGCCGACACTGGAGCAGTGTCCTTCCAAAAGGTCACTTCCAGAAGGAGCGAGCGATCCCGGTACTGACATGTTTAAAACTGCAGGGTGATCAGTTTTGGGGAGCCAGCAAAAGCTGCCTGCAAGCTGCCTCCATAGGAAAGAGGATGGGGAAAAAGCTCCTGCTCCAAAAACTGTGTCAGATCAGCTTGGCTGAACTGCGTTTGCAAGTGCTGATATCCTTTACTCTAATCCCTGTCTTGGGGGCAAAGTCAAATCTTTCCTCCCTGTCTTTGATCTCAGCTCCTCTCACTGCGTTTCCAGAGCTGGGAAATGGGAGCAAAGGTAGGGAGGGATGCTGACTCGGGGAGCCGGGGTAATCTCTGTTTTCTTCTAGGTTTGTGCCCTGCAGTGCTGCACCGCTTTCCTGCTTGCGTTGGTTTCTGCATCAATTAAATGTTTTTATGCAAGAAACGTAATGGGAAAAATAGTGATTTATTTCGATCAGTATGAAGACGCAGGACCTTTGTTTTGCTGGAAATGGTGACAATCTACCTGTAACACAATGCAATTTACCCACCTTGGCTCATTTCATTTTCTCTTTTAGAATTTCCTCAGGCTCCGATTTCACTTGAGGATTTTTCTAAACAACAAATCATATATAAAGGCTAAAAACTTGACAGTAAAAGATGAAATGCTAACTGGCAGGTCTGTAGTTCTGGCCAAAACATCATTGCAGCCGCAGAAGTCACAGAAGGAGCGGTGGACAAGGTGCCATAAACCTGTATGGCCAGCACTGGTATTGACCCTGCTCCCACTGGAGTCCAGGGGAATTTTGCCCTTTGTTTCAACAAAGGATCCTGGGCAGCCCAAATCCCTTCTGCTTTTTGCATGCGATGCATTTCTGAAATATGAACAGTGCCCTTTCCTAACCACAGCATTTGAATCTGTGGTTCCACAGTTACTGAACAAATAAAAAATGATCTATGGGCAGCTGGAGGGGCAGGGAGGAACAGGGCTGTTTCTCTGGCCACCAGGAGATGGCAGTGAGTATGCTGCTTTTTTTCTCCTTTATTTCACTTGTACATAGTCCCTGAAAAATAACGGGTCCTTTGAGGACAACTGAGCTATAATGCTTTCATTTCTGTTTAATTTTCCTTTTCCATCACTCATATTTATATCCTCCCCGCAACTCCTTCTTCTGCATAATGCCTCCTTCACCCAACAGCTACCATTTACCTTCTCGATGCGCTTGGCTAACCCCTATAGATCGGCATAAAACGGCATCACAGAAGCTGAACAGTAACATTTGGGGAAGGGAAAGCAGTGCATGTGACTCGGGGGAAGCTGGCAGCCGCTGGTGCAGGCTGCTGCGTGGGGAGCAGGACACAGGCTCGAGCTGGGTGATTTTTTGCCTGTTCCTTCTTCAAAGAGAAATATGCCCTAGTTGCAAAATCGAGCTGACATTTAGTGTCTAGATTTCATCCTTGACGTTCTCTGCTGGCCAGAAGACGTCAGGAGACACATTTCCTTGTCTGTATGAACCTCATGTGCCTTTGGGCCATATTAACTCATCGTGCTGCAAAGCTCCTCCGAAGGACTCTGACATTTTCTGCCATAATGCCTTCCATCAGTGGGCTTCCCAAAAGGGTACATTAACATATGAAGCCCCATAGATTTTGGGAGGACAGAGGAAGACAATTGCTCAGAAAGGGACAGTTTACCAGGCTCTGATTGCTGGCTGTGAAGTCTGCTTGCAACACTCATGGAGCAAAGTCCTTATTTCTCCCTTCCCTCACCATTTTGCAGTGGACCCTGAGGAGTGTGGTACCTTTGGCACTTGGAAGTGACAGGTGCAGATGGGGCTGTTCCATGAATTGCAAATATCCAGAGGTTCAAATGCCACAGCTGAAAAGGTTTGCTCTTTTTTTTTTTTTTTTTTTGGTACTGCCATAAATAAAGTGTCTTTATGTCCCCATTTCACATCATGCACTGAGAACTTTCTCAGGGACACCTGAAATGCCCCAGTTTTTCATTGCTCCTATCAAAACATTTTTCTAAATAATTACAGAGTGTTAAAAATGGATTGCTGTACCCAGGGGAATTTGCTCTTTGTTTGCCAGGAACAAATAGGCCAAGAGAATGAGTGTTCAGCATCACGAGTGGTGTTTGAAGGAAAGAGCAAAGTCAAAAGCATGTCGGCACCACCAGAGATGCTCTGTTTTCAAAGTGAATTTTTATTACACATTGTCAAGGTTGCATGAGAAATTCCCACATGTAATGCTCCTTGGCTAGGAGCAAGGGGTAATCTCCTCCTCTGGGAGAGATGCACGTGATGTTGTTGACCCAGAGGAATTTTTTATACATATATATATATGTTTTTTTTTTTTTTTGAAGTGACCTCTTCAAAACTATTTCTTTGCTTCTTAAGATGTTGCTTCCAAACTGGCACTGGGTTTTGATTACAGCTGTCACCTTCATAGTGGTTTGCACTTCATTAGCATTACCATGCCTCCTCTGGAGAATCCCCAGGCCCTGAGCAAACACAAACCTAGAAATGCTAAAAGCATCCTGCTGCCATCAGTACCTCTGCAAATTGCTTTTCACTTTTAGAGCATCCTTTCTGAGTTATGTGTGCCTGAAAAATCTATTACTGTAGCAGCGATGCTGGGTGGCAATAAGAGGGGAAGTAGGCTCAGCACGTCTGGTTTTCCTTAGAAGTTGGCCTAAAATCACTTGCCCCCCCCCCACCCCCAATATCCTCCTTTCACCCCCAGGAGAGGTCCAGGATGCGCTGATACCCTGCATGGCTGGCAGGCCAGTGCACATCCCACTGGAGATGCCGTCCTGCAGCCCTCCACCCATACCTGTATTTCTTTTATTAATTCCTTCTGGGTGCCTGATATTCTTGTTAAGGGGCTTCTGACACCTCCTTGCACGCATTAATCAATAGGTAGCATGTATGTGTACACATACCAGGGCTCTAGGGACAAGTGCTTTTTACTGTTTCCATCCCTCTCTCCCTGTTAATCTCTCTGGTTGTTTGTTCCTTCCACTTGCTGTGTCTTGCCTTAAATTAAACCATAAGCCCTTCATCACAGGAGATGCCTTTTATTGTGGGTTGTTGGGAGGGGTTTTGCAGAGAATCCAGAGCGTCAGGCAGGGCTCTCCAGGCACCACTGAAATAATAATGAAGTAGTTTCACCAAGGTGGGACCAGAGAGGACTGTCGGCTAGGTTGGAATTCTTCTTGTCCCTGAAAATTGCCTAGGTAATAAGATAGCTGCTTTAAAATTGCTTGGGGTATCCCACAGGATTCTGTTTTGACTCTGATTTCCATTTCCAGCACATGTTCTGCCATTTGGCCAGCACGATCCACCCGTGCGAGCTAATTTAAGGTTGCTAAACAGATGACACAGAACATACATCTTTTATATTTGATCTCTGCACTGGTAAGTTCTCTGACTGATGGTTAATCTTAACTTATAATAGGATTTGCCCACACTCTCCCAAGAGCGGGATATTGGTCTGCAACGAAACGGCAGCCTTGGGTGGAAGCGCACCAGGGGAAATGCAGCACGGTTAATTCATGTGCTTTGGTTTCTTGTCCTTTGGAATGATACTGGGCTTTCTAGTTAACGTGGGTTTAACATTGGTGTTAATTGCACATTTTGGAAGGTTTGACCAAGTTTGTAATAGTGCAATACCATGCTAGTGTGAATCTGAGCACCGTTGCTATTTTCTTTTGCAAGTCAGCAAGTAACTTCTGGTTTGTTAGACATGAGTCTGACAATAGCAGCAGGACAGTGAGGGCTGTGTCCCTTCCCACCTCTCCTCCCTATCTGAAATCCTCCCTATTTTGGTCAAAGGGTAGGGTGCCAGGGGTGGTCAGGTTTAGGTACTAACTTGTTGTCGTGGCAGTTCTCTGGGGTTGAACGCCTGTTGTACATTAACTAACCTGTACTGGGGAAGAAAGGTCACATACGCAGCTTTTAAAAAAAACACAATCCACACACACAAAAACACCAAGTCATCTGGGCTATGTGTTTGAGACCTGGGCTGACCCACTTTTCTATTGAACTGTATTTCTGTACCAGACAGGGTTGCCCCACAGGAGCAAAATGTTGGTAAAAATGGCCATAGAATCAGAATATCCTGAGTTGGAGGGCACCCACAGAGATCATCAAATACAACTCCTGGCTCCGCACAGGACCACCCCAAAATCAGACCATGTGTCTGAGAGCCTTGTCCAAGTGCTTCTTGAGCTCCAGCAGGCTCAGTGCCGTGACCATTGCCCTGGGAGCCTGTCCCAGTGCCTGACCACCTCTGCATGCAGACCCTTTCCCTAACCCCCAGCCTGACCCTCCCCTGTCCCAGCTCCATGCCATTCCCTTGGGTCATGTCGCTGTCCCCAGATAGCAGAGCTCAGCCCCTGCCCCTCCGCTCCCCTCGTGAGGGAGCTGCAGGCCGCCATGAGGCCTCCCCTCAGCCTGCTCTGCTCTGGGCTGAGCAAACCAAGGGACCTCAGCCACTCCTCATACGTCTTCCCCTCCAGACTCTTCACCATCTTTGTAGTCCTCCTTTGGACACTCTCTAATAGTTTTATGTCCTTCTTATGCTGTGGTGCCCAAAACTGCACACAGTAAAGATGTCATTGTAGCCCATACGGGATATTTATTAGCAAGGACCACATCACAGGGCCTGGATCCCACTGTCATCCGATCCTTTGTGAATATACTGTCAAGGCAGTTAATCGCAGGTTTAGTGTTGTGCCTTTTTTGTTTGGTTTGGTTTAGTGTGACATTCAGGATTCCTTTGCAGGCAACTGTGCAGAGCAGGGAAATCTATGTGAAATGCTTCCTACTGGAGTCACCATCTGGCCAATATTCATCTTGTTTAGTGAAATACCAAGATATCCATAGAACGCAGGTGTTAATGCAGATCATAAGGCACAAGTGACCGCAGTAATAAACCAACATGCAATGAAATGTAATTAACGCACCTGGTGCTTGGGTTTGAAAAGAATTTCAGTGCCTTTTTATTTTCCCTGCACACTGATGTGCATTTTAATAGTTGGAACTTCAATCATCACTTCCAACCAAGCCTTTAATCATATTAATTCCCTTAAAAAGTGAACTATAATGTTTGCTAGTAAATAGTATTTCATAATTTAAGCAGGAGAGGGAAAAAAGTGGAAGCACACATGAAACTGTATGCTGCTTAGTTGCATTTTTGTGGCATGAAAAAGACTATTGTCCTGTTTCTGCTGATCTGGTTCTACCACTGGCAAAGGTTTGTTTTCAGTATGTAATCCTTGCTGGTAGGATCCAAGCGCTTTCGAACCAGCTGGAACAAGTGAAAAGATGAGAGGCAAAAAATAAATGATTAAGCTTTCTATCACTGGATTTCACAGTGTGTTTTTCATCTCACCTCTGACCTGCACAAGTCAGGAATGCATATTTGTAAGGTTAAAACCCCCAGGACGACATTAGTTCCAAGCAGACCCCAAAGAAACCCAAATGGAAACATACTGGTAGATTCTTTGTGTGTGTTTACGGGTTCCGGAGAATCACATTTTCTTTTCAGATGTCCATTAACAGCGAGATCTCACCCGATCTCGTTAGTCAGCTGACAAATCACAAGCAGACAGGGCATGTGTTGAGGAAAGGGAGAGGTCACCAAGTCAAAGCCAAGGGTCACGGGTAATTTTTATGTTTGGATGGGTATTTCTCCAGGGTGGTCTTAAGGGTATGAGGACCATAAATCTACACAGGCATACTTGCAGGGACAGTCCCGTCAAGTGACTCCCAACCATGTGCTAACTATTTAATAGGGATTCAGAGTGGTTAGCTCCCTGGAGAGGTGTCTGCTACTGACACTGCTATTGCTCAATCCCTTTCCCCCACCTTGATACGGGTGCAGATTATAGTGTGCTCTGCCCCTAGCAGTCAGTGCTAAGCCACTATAAATGAGCTGCTGACAAACCAGAGCCATGGGCAGTGGCCTCTTGGTGGCACCAGGTGAGGGCCAGCCACTGCTGGCCAGGCATGGAGGGTCTGCTTGACCACCTGAGCACCTTTGTGGATGCTGGCTATGTTTTTCACCTTCAGCAGGTGAGCATCCCTCTGAAGCTGACTTTGCCTCCCTATCATCAAGGACTGGATGCTGAGGGTCACTGCTGAGTGACAAAATGCACCAAAGGCCTGAGGCTGCGTCAAGGACCTCTGCAGTGTCCCTGTCTTCTGTCAGACAAAGCAAACCAGGAGAAAGGTGGTCCTTAATGGTGCAGGCTACTGCATTTTATTCTGTTCAGACACAAAGAAATTAAGAAATGCTTGCTGACCCAGCTTCTCTTTGCAGTGTTGCTGTCTTGGCAAGCCCTGGGAGGAGAAAAGCCAAGATGGGCTGGGCCGAGCTGTGTCGTTCTTGATGGGCAGCCTCTGCAATCTCCTATCCCCAGTGTCTGACTGGTGACATGTTGCCAGTGCTTCTGCAGAGGATGGAGGTGGTGCACCAGCAGCACCATGCGTGCCCTTAACGTGTGCACATGGGTGTGGGCGAGCAGTAGGGTGGGACTATGAGGAGTGACAATGAATGAGACCTTCCATCAGGCTGATGGGGGCTGCAAAAAGGCTGACTGGAACGTCCTCTCCTGTCTTCATCTGCCCCGTTATTTGTGCAATTCCTTCAATGACCTGTCTTTTTTTTTTTTTTTTTTTTAGGATAAAAATTCCTTCAGGGTGCTATATCCAGTGTTCACATAGGGCCACCCTTAATGTTCCTCAGATAACTGACTTTGTTCTTACATGAGTAACCTCAGAGTAAGGTATCAGCAGCAAAGATGCTTACGACCCTCAACACAAACCCTCATCAAGAGCACTGAGAGCTGTGAGCAGTACCAGCAGGTTACCAAGGGGGCTTCATGTTAATGGCTGTGGGCTTTCTTTGAGCTTCTTTGCACTGAGGACTTCACATGGTCAGCCACGTCCTTAAATGACGATGATGAAATTTCCGCTTCTTGACCGAAACCAGCTCTTGAACCCAGGTCCACAGAGGTGAAAGGCTAATGTATTAAGCTGTCTGCTTCAATTAATCTCTAAACCCTGGGCAGATTTACAAACTATTGGAAGAATTTAGATCGTATCTGATTTACGAGACACCCTTTTTTAGTTCAGATCGCCTTTGCAGATGGCCACCATACAGAGCAATAAGGATAATTACTATACAGATTTATTGTCAGGGTGGAAATTTTCATTTCCAAAATAATGCACAGCTGTCTATCCCAAACTGGCTACAACATGCAAATGCGGTAGTTAACCTGTCCCAGAGAAAATATTATATCTCAGGATAAGGAAGGCCTAAATATCAGGAGCTGGGTTATGGCATCAGTTCCATCAAAATCACCTGTCAGACTTAATTTTTCTGCACTTAATGTCTGCCCCCAGAGCTGCAGTGCTGGCTCACAGATGCCACGGGGGCAAGGATCCATTTTCAGCCATGGTCAGGGCGAGCATTGCATTTGAGATGCTAAACCATGAGATCACTTTATTTCTTACATGCTTCAGAGAAGAAATTATGTTTCTTGAGGGCAGGATTGACAAATGGAGGCAAAGAAATCCTTTGACCAATGCAGCAGTGCAAACAATTTATTGAAAACAGTACAGAAATGCAGAAGTGTATTTATGACCTACAGTAGAAACAGCATGTCCATGCCCTGGGCACAATTTCCATTCTTCTGAAGACTTTTGCAATGAATTCTTGGGGAGGAGGTCATGAGGATGCATGGAGGATGCATTATCATTAGCTATGGGAATAGGCAGTCCAATATATTCAGAAGGGAACTTTCTGTGTTAATTTGAAAGGAAAGCTGGCACCTCAGGTACACTGAGATTTTTGTACTCATCTCTTAGTGCCTTAAAGAGCCTTCTGGTGTCTTGAGAAGCCCCTGGATCCCCACTTCTGCCAGTCAGAGAATGGGAGGAGGCGAAGTGTAAAGACCAGTCTGGCCTGATAGTCCATGAAAAGTCACAGTAGTATGGCCACAGACACTGAGGACAAGACCAGGGGAACTTTTCTTTCTAGGATAAGTAGTCAATCCACTCAGCTAAGAGGAAGAGCTGGGTTGTAGGATGACTCTCCCATTACTTTTTATTTTTTATTTTTCTCAGCAGACCCAGGCTCTTACACAGAAATATTGCGTTGTAGGTATTTAGGGGGTTGGAGGAGGGAGGGTGAGGAGCGGGAAGGAGAAATTACCAGTATCCCGGCATCATCAATTGATGTCAGCTCTGCTCTGGGAATAGCGTGTATCTGTTAATTGCTGCTGCAGCTCCAGCAGATGGTGCGTAAGACATTGTATTTAATGGAGCCCCTCAAAAAGAGTGGCATCTGTTTGTTTAATTTCTTGGCAAGAGAACGGCAGATTTAAAAAACAAACAAACCAAATTGGACATTTAGATATGGACGTCTCCCCAACAGATTATAAATGTTTTAAGATAAATAGGTCAAATGAAGGAAAATATTAATTGACACATTTGAAAATTAAGCCAAACTTCTAGATATCAGCTTTTTTTAAAGATTAGATTTTCAACATAAGGCAACGAAACTCCTTAAAGAGGCTTTTAGATAAAATGTTGACACTATCCTTTTGACTATGAATTTGTCTAAGTGTTTGTGGGGCTGTTACAAACGCTAATTCAGAAACTGATTCAGAAACTAATTCATTCTGCCTGTCTCTCTCACACACCCTGAGGTTAAAATATGATCTCTGCGTACTAGGCACTTTATTTTAATCATGTGCATCTCCTACATTTAAAATCAGCTGCAGAAAACAAGGCAGAAAGCATCCTCAGCCCCTCCATTTAACAGCTGGGACGAGCAACTCAGTGGATCCTGCCGTGGCTCCAACGTTAACACAACTCCCCGTATTCCTGGAAATTCATTGCAGCAGAAATTAAAGCAGGAGAGTACACCACGGATCCATCCGTAGCAGTGTATGATATTGCCTCGAACAATGGCCAAGCCTGCTCGCTTTGCACAAGAAGGGGAATGACCTCCTGATCTGCCCTGTGTTTGCAATGCTGTGCTAGGAGGAACCCTTCCTCACCCCCCCCCCCCCCCCCCCGGTGAGCACACAGCCACGAGGCTGGACAACCCTACAGATATCTCCTCCTTATGTACATTTTGGAAAATATTCTGTCTCATTTGCCAGGCTTTCGGCATGCTTTGTATTTTCCCTGTATCAAAGCAGCATTAACATAGGGCGCTCAAGCTGAGATACAGAGCACGTGGCCTCTCTACTTCCAGCTCCTCATCCAAAAAAGCGCCGCTTCTTGCTGTTTCCAACAAACTAACTCCCGTGTCCATTGCCGCAGGCGAGGCAGAGCCCATCCACCCATGCCAGGAAGTTTTTCCCTTGGACTTTTTGTGGATTGCAGCTGCAGCGGTGCTACGAGTGCTGGGCCGGTGCGCTGGCAGGAGGCACCGGGAGCTGTGGGCAGCAGCCCAGGGCCCACAGCTGCCGACGTGGCTGCGCTGCTCAAGTGTGTCCACGCTGGTGGTTTTTGCTGATGGTTGTATGTTGGCTGAAGCTGTGATTTTTCCTGTTTGTTTGTTCTTCAGGGGCTGATTTTATTGCAGGTGATGGTGGTACACACGTTGTCGACCCAGCATCAGGTGTACGCAGATCTGTGTAGCACACACACCTTGCTCAGGTAGATGGAGACAAGAAGGAGAACATCTTTTCCCCTTACTTTTCATGGAGGAATAGGGGAAATAGTTTGCTACAGCTCTTTCAGAGTGCAGCTTTGCCTTTCTCCTTGCCAGGCCAGCTTCACAACATGTCCGCAGAGGGGGGTGTTGGGCACATAGCCCTCGTGATGCCCACAGGGCCAGGTTGTAGGGAAAAATTGCCTACTTTTGTTGATCAGATGGTCTGGTCTGACCTAAAACACCCTGTGTTTTATGAGCCTTCAGTCCTGCAAGTGCCTGTTCGCTTCCACTGGAAGTCATCCAGGTGAAAGAGCCCCATGAAAAGGATTCGGTGTCACCACACAGCCCTGTAGGGCCAACGTGGGTGGGAGGAAGAAGAAGCTCTCTCGCCCAGGGATTCCTGGAGCAGAAGGAGTGCGGCACAATGTGGGCACTGTGTCACCCTGAGCCCGTGTGCTGTCACCTCCCCAGCACAACGTCCCTGCCCCGTGGGTCCCTGCGAGCCCCGGTGTGTGTTTGCCCTGTGTGGCATGCACAGGAACGAGGAAGTAAAAGGGAAATAGTAGCACCATAAACCAACTGTTAGTGCTCCAGCCTGGTGATTGCGCTATCCAGGGAGTCGTATATCTAAATATAGTCATAGGCTGTGTTCTAGCCAACATCTTTATGGCTCTTTATTGAGGATGTCCCAGATATATCTCACTTTTTTATTTTTTATTTTATTTTTTTTTTACCATTTGAGGCATAGCTTTGCTGAAATTACAGCTGTTAAAAAAGGGTTGAGCTGCTGACCTAGTGATATGCCTTTGTAACATTCACTCAGTTATGATGGTGCATATCTTTTGCCTGTTTCCCTACCTGTGAATAGAGAATAGTAACATGCAGATAATAGCAACATAATTTTTTTTTTTCACACACCCAGAGCCAAAAACAAGAGCTACCCACTCTCACTGTTACTGTTCTAGCACCTTTTATTCTCATATTGATAGAAGCCCAAGACTGCTAAAAATACATGATAGTGTTCTTATTTCAGAAGAGGTTTTTTTTTTTTCTGATTAAGATTTTAATCAGGTAACAGAAGATTAAATGTCTATGTAATAGGAAATTGTATAATGTCTTTTTTTTTTTGCTTGCTTACATTGAATAGAACCTATATAAAGTTTTTTTTTGTTTTTTTTTTTTTTTAAAAAAAAAAAAAAGGTTTTGGGTTGGATGCTCCACTAGGCAGACTCTTCCTCACACACTGAGTCAATACTTGGTTTCACAAAGGAGGTCAGGAGCATCTTGATCAAACCGAGCCACTCCTCGGACAAGAAAAGCACCCTGTAGTGAATCAGGACATATGGAACAGGCCCAGTTCCACTGAAACTAAAATAAGAATAAAAAGGGCTCAGAAGAGATAATTTGAATGCCTCTCATGGCTCTCACTGCATATCGCATGACTGGCTTATAAGAGGCTAGACTGGAAAAATCTACCACTCTGTGCACCTTGCAAAATGAAAAAAAAACCAACACAACACAAACCACCTCTATAACGTTCTTAATTAAAAGATAAGGAAACATTCCTCCTAAACACTCCCACCTTTCATTTATTTATGACTTTTATGCCAAGGAGCCGAAGGAAGCTGATGCAGACTGCTGTTGTCTTTGCTCATCCAGCAAGGCTGTGCCAGGGCAAGGAAGGGAACCCAGGTCTCCGCTGAAAGCTTCACCCATGCAGTGGGACAGGCTGCACACATGCTCCTACAGCAGCTTGCCTGCTGCCCGTGAGTGCCATCCTCACCGCCGGTTATTTCCATGATTGCAGGGAAATGTTAAATCCTGAATATTCTCCCATTACCCTTTATTTTTCATAGTTCATCTGAATGAAGAATACAGCCACTGGGAAATATGGATTTCAAAACTGTAAGGTTACCAGATAGTATGGAAGCACACAGGCTGGGATAGAAAATACATGAAAAACCCCCAAAAAGTGAGGAAGGCATCTGTGGTGGCATCAGCACCGGCTTCAGCTCCCTGCAGCTAAACCTGGAGGCAGTGGAGGGACTGAAATGCACCCACATGCAGCTTTAGGGACATAAAAAGGAAGGCTGCCAAGTCTACACGAAGGCATCTTTCTGCAGCCCTCTCTCCTCCTCCAAATTATCTTTTATAAACTAGGTTAGCTTAGAAAATATCAACAGTGCATATTTAAAGAGAGACTGTCAGTCACTTTGTCTCCTTTCTGCAGTGCTTCTTTCCAGCATGACTGATTAATTGTGCAATTTAAGCACAGGTTCTCACAGACAAATACTTAGCGGAGTGCAAATGACAAAATTTCAAGTACCAAATATAACCTGTGCATCACCACGGAGATGTGAACATACAGGCAATTTTGCCTGACAAACTGTCTAAGAGCTGCATTTTCCCATTTGGGCTTCCTTCCATCTTCCTTTAGTAGGGCCCCATCCCTCTTTTAGGGGATGTTCCTCTTCCAGTGGTTTCAGTGAGACTTGTGCTCTTACTGGTATGATGCACCATCAATCACTTTCTCCTCTTTATTATTGTTATTGTTATTGTTATTGTTATTATTATTATTATTATTATTATTATTATTATTATTAATTTATTTATTTTACCTATCCTTCATTGTTTCATTAAAAAGGAAAACCCAAACCCCCCAAACCTTCCAATGTTTCTGATGACATGTTTAATATGTCAATGTCACTTCTCAGGGGTTTCTTTCTTTTTATAGGCTAGGTATTTTTAATATTACATTTTTTTTTTTCTTAAGGGAAAAGGATCATACAAATAATATTACTGTAGTTTATATATGTATATATATTTTTTCTTATTTAAACTGTTGATTTTCTGCAAACCGACTTGATGTTTTTTCCATTGTAGGTTGGAATTAATAGTGGCAATAGCTTCTTCTTTTTGTTTCCCCCACAGATTATTTTCTCCCCTGCCTCCTCACTTACTTTTTGGAGAGCTCCACGCAGAAGAACCACAACACGGTGAGTGGCAGCACAGCAGCAAAGCACAGCATCACGTTTTTCCCAGTGGAGCGACAGGCTGAGCCCCAGCGGAGCAAGCTGCTGGGCATGGGGACTGTCAGCTTGCATCTTGGAGCAGCATCACCTGGGATTTCTTCAAAGGAAAGCAATCTGCCTCCTAACACATTCAACTACATCTACACCTCAGCCACTGTAACTTTGGGATCTGTGGCTGCAGCGTGGGGAGTGTAGCAAAGAAATTGCAGGCACAGGAAAGTCTCCGAGTGTCTGACATGATCACTGGCCCATGGCACCTGCAACAGCAGAGAAAAATTGTTGAAATGTCATTTAGTCCCCGACACCAAAGTGTGTCTGTGCCCTGGGGAATGCCAATAGGAATTTAGAGAGAGGATCAAAGTGGGTGTTTGGCCAGAGGCACGAAAGGAAAGCTGTGTAAATAATAATAATAAATTACACGGGGATTCGTGATCCTGCCCACCCAGCTCTCAAACTCACTGAAACCAGAACTTTTAAAGCTCTTTGTCACTTCTGGAGTCCAACTCTTTGAGCTGCTCTGACCCATTTTGTCACACAGCAAAAAGCCCTAACCCACCAAAAAACCCGCCAAGCCCACTGTTTTGAGTAGCTTGTCAGCACTTTGTATAAGCATTGCTGATACGAGGTTCTGCAGTTGCTAGCTTCTCAATCCTTTTATGAAATATGTTTTTATTGCACTTGAAATAAAGAGGAGTTGGTATACAAAAATCAAAGTACTGCACGCCTCAAAAGATAACAGAAGTTTATTACACTATAAAGGCTTTCAGCATATGTGAATGCTTATTTTATCTGAAGACATTAGCATAGTTATTAGTCATTCTAAATGATTAAATTTCCCTCTCATCCACCTAATCTGCATTATAAATGAATATACCAAAGAGCAATGCACTTTGTTGATAAAGCACTGGCTTGGCAGACAGGAGACAGGGATTTTTTCTAGTGCTGATTTTGACATCTCAAGTTGGCCCAGGCTGGTTGCTTTGCCATAAAGTGCCTCAGCATCTCAGACTAACCAATAATGTTACACAGAATCACAGAATTGTCTAGGTTGGAAGAGACCTCAAGATCATCGAGTCCAACCTCTGACCTAACACTATCAAGTCCTCCACTAAACCATATCACTAAGTTCAACATCTAAATGTCTTTTAAAGACCTCCAGGGATGGTGACTCCACCGCTTCCCTGGGCAGCCCATTCCAATGCCTCACAACCCTCTCGGTAAAGAAATTCTTCCTAATATCCAACCTAAAACACCCCTGGCACAACTTTACCCCATTCCCCCTCGTCCTGTCACCAGGCACGTGGGAGAACAGACTAACCCCCACCTCACTACAGCCTCCTTTAATGTGCTTATTGAGAGTGATAAGGTTGCCCCTGAGCCTCCTTTTCTCCAGGCCGAACAAACCCAGCTCCCTCAGCCGCCCCCCGTAGGACTTGGTCTCCAGACCCCTCACCAGCCTCGTCGCCCCTCTCTGGACTCTTCTGAGCACCTCGATGTCCTTCTTGTAGTGAGGGGCCCAAAACTGAACACAGTACTCGAGGTACGGCCTCACCAGAGCCGAGCACAATGTTGATTTGTCTTACCAAATACATCAATGTACAATCAATATCCAATCAATATCCAATCAATATCAATATGCATTGAATATTCATCAATACCTTATCAATATTTTTGTCTATTTTATAGTCTTGCAGTAGCATCTTCCAAGTTTTAAAGGGTATTCAGAGGAAACCCTACTAAAAATGTTTCAAGAAGGGGATATTCTCAAGCTGTGGATATTGATGTGCTTTGGTATCCATGGAGTAACAGTGATTTGTAGCAGCTTAAAAGCTGCCACTCTCAAACTTGTGGTATTAGCATGCCTTTTTAATGTTTAATTAATTAATTAATTTTCTGAGTGAAGTAGGGTGGAGACCCCAGTTGCAGCAGTGGGAGCTCCTGTGACTTAGGATGCTGTCTCCTCCCCCTGGCTGTCTGTCCATCTGTTTCTTCTTCAGTGATAATGACTAGGAAGGAAATAGCTCATAGTATGTTTGAAAAGAAATATAATAAAATTTAATTTTGTACTGTTCAGTCTGTTAGGTTACAGTCTTGAACAAAGATCATGTTGTCTTCATCAGTCCTCTCCTTCCTGTCTTGTAAGCACTGTGCCATGCTGCTGTGGTGTCCTGTGAGAGCCTGGAGGGGAGCCTGTCTGCAGAAATGTAATGTGACTGGCCTTTTTTCATCGGAGTCTGGTGGTCTCCAGATCTTCCTCTGCTCCTCAAGAAGTCCATAAGCCTTTGTCACAAACCAGCCATGAAGGACAAGGTGTAGTCCAGTGCTCCCATGGCTCCTTGAGCAGAAGGCTGGGAGCTCCACATGAGTAGAACTACTCATCAACCAATTTTCCCTACTGGGTTAAGCCTTATTTTTATTTTATTTTTTATTGAGCTTCATAAAGTTGAGTCTTGATTTCTTTTGCATGTTACCTGCTGCTTAGTACTGTACATATGATTCATTTTTGATGAAGACAAACCTAAACTGGGTCCCTACGTACAGGAACAACTGAAGATCTTGTCATTAATAGACCTTGATGTGAGGATTAAAAAAGGACTACAGCAGCTTGCTCAAATAGGGTGGGGTTGATAGCAACAAATAGTTGAATTTGCCTGAGGGTCAGTGGCATAGAAAATGAAAAAAAAAAATCCTGTCAGGGCGATTGTGTAAGAATCACCTCTGATTTAGTCATATTTACATGAAGCTTGGATCCAGTGAAGTAATGCTCCAGGACTTCTTTAGGCGTTGAACAGAGATTTGTGTTTTACTGAGATAAAGCAGGATGTCATCTGTGAAAAGAGCAATTTATGTCCTTTGTCATGGATTGTGATGCCTTGAATCTCTGGAGACTTTCTGATAGCTATTGCTAGCGGTTCAGTGGACAGAGCAATCAGAGGAGGTGACAAAGGACACACTTGCCTTCTGCCTCTCTGAGGAAAAAGTCATTCAAATAAAGGAGTCTTGGAGAGTCATTCAAATAAATGAATGCACACCCTCTAGCTTTCTGCGGGCTTAATGAACCTTATTCACCAGCAGCAGAGCCTTGTTGTCAAGCCTCTGTCTTCGAAGGGAGAAGGAGAATGCCGAAAGAGGTTGGTCCATCAGATTTGTATTCTCTGAAGGAGCTGAAAGGCAATTTTCTGCCCTTCCCTTGGATGCGGGAAGCCGAAGGCTCCTGTGGGTGCAGCGACCTACTTGCTCTGCTGGCTCAGGCTTCTTTTCTTCCCCTGATTCTGTTCTGATTTCAAACAAACATTTGCTTCTCTGCTGGCAAATGAATTTCACACAGTCCTGAGGCAATAATGATTTTATGAGAACCTCTTGGCTTCTTCTAAGCATTTGTACCCTGTATTTTATACAAGGACAGCAATTCTGTAACACAAAATCGTTACAAGAGCTGGTGAGGTCCAAAAGCATCTAAATCATGATGTGCATATGAAGCCATATCACACGTTTGTGGTTTCTTTATTTCTTTTTCATTTTATTTTTTTTTTTCAAAGTGTGCATTCCTCCCTGTGGGGTAACAGACAGTGAAAGCAAACCAGCTATTCTATCAGGCACCCACAGCACCTTTAATGTATAGCCCCTGGCCAGTACATGTGGTCGTGTGCTCACGTAATTCTCCCTAACTGTGTGAAATGAAAAGGGAAATGTTAAATTTGATAATATTTATCACAATCATTTCTCAAGAGCAAGAGAGAAACCACTGGTCTGTTGAGAAATGTGGTCTTTTAATAGTCTACTAGGATTACCCATTTGTGTGAATAATAAAAATCTACACAGATAGAGAAAGTAGGGTAAAACTTTATAATGGTGTATTTATTCTCCAGCAGAGAGGCCTTGAAGTTCTGAAAAAATGCCAATTCATCAGTTTGCTTTTTCATTTTTTTTTTTTTTTTAGCTCTCTGTTTTGGGGATTTCATGGAAATAATTGAGTTTTCTACTCATGGACCAAGAGTCTTATATATGCATGACTTAAAAGAAAGAGATTATTAAATATCTCACCATTTAATATCTAGATAATTTTGTCCTATAAAATCCTGTGCAGCAAGTAATTTAAATTGGTACCCTATTTACGGCAGACAAAACTGCTCACTACCATCTGCTTCGCAGTTTTAATAGATGGAGTGTTAACTGCGTGTTGCATGAAATTCATTGCGACTAGGTTAATTAAATGGCTGTGCTTCACTTCCTGCACTCTGGTAATAAGATGACAACCTCATCTGAATTTATTAACCCTTGCCACTTTCAGTACTGTTATCGCCCATTCAACCACCTTTGGTCAACAAAAATGAAATAAATCACAATAACCGGGGACATAACCATATTGGCTAACAAAATAGATATTGATTAGCATCTTCTAAAACAAATATGTCAATCTAGGCTGATTTTATTTTCACAAAGGTCATTGAAATCTGTTGGAGTATTAGTAATGGAAGTAAATTATGATGTAGTAGGTTATTGGAGGAAACCCCAGATCTAATCTTCACCACTAAACCACCCAAATGAAGGCTTCACCATGGAAAGCTGGAGAGGCCTTTGAGGTCTTCAGATTTCTATTCTAGAAAGCAGTCATTAAATACCACCCTGCAGGGAAGGGCCCTACAGAGACCCTAAAGCCAAACCTCTGAGGGGCCGTGAAGTCAGAGGCATCTCTGTCCTCTCCAAAGAGGGATAAATTACTCCGTCCATGGGGTAAATTACTCCATCTGTGCCCTTGCCCCTGGACAACTTCAGCATTGCCTCAAGCCATAGATGCGAAGTGCTCACATGTGACCAGGCCGTGTGTGGCGAGGGAAGTCCTGACAGGAACTAGCCCATTCTCCATCACTTACACCCTTCAGATACTAAGGGATGTTGATTTTAGGCATTTACACACAAAGCACTCTTGTTGGCTCTACTGACATTTCCTGGGAGGGATCGAGGCTGTGCAGCAAAGCCGTGTTCATTCATCTCCCTCTCACCCATCAGATAAGGGCTTTGACGACTTTCCAGACACCAGCACTACAGATCTTTCAAACTTCCCCACCCTCCTGTCGTCCCCACCGACCCCGTCACTGCACCACAGCTTTAGGTTTCCTTCTCCGCCTTGTCACCCAGCTGCTGCTCCCGGACACAGCTCCTCTGTCCTGTTCAGCCCCCCAGGCCAAAGCAGTCTCCAGATGCTGACTTTAAGGGCATTTTTATGTGGTTTGGTGGAGAAAGTCATGCGGCTGCATCCTTCCTTGCTTCAAAGCGGTGGGATGCAATCCAGCTCCGGTTCAGAAGTTCAGCCGCGCTGAACTGGTTCAACCCGTCTGTGCGTTATCCCGCTGGCAATGGGCTTTGCCTTCCAGGGAGGTGGGTACGACTTGTTTCTTAACACATCAGGAAAGCTTTCATTTGTGCTGAGGGCTGTAGTTAGAAATAAGTTAATGAAATCACAATTTATAACTGTACATACAAGAAAAGTGTCTTTGTCCCAGCAGTCAATAGGTGGCTGAACTGCTCCCCTTCTGCCCCCTGCATCCCAAACCCAAACCCCAGCCCTCCCCCAGCCACTAAGCAAAACAACAGGCACAAAGCATCCTGCCCTGTAGCATCCCACCCTTACTGGGGAGCAGGAAGACCAGGGGGTTGACCAATTCATGCCCAAAAATGTAAATCTGAGCCCAATGCCAGCAGGCAGTGCCCCCAAATTCACCAAAAAGGGATGTTTGGCCCCTGCCCAGGATGGATGCATTCAGCTCCTGCCCTTTCCAAAGCAGAATAGGGTTGGATGGTGTACCTGGAATTTAATGAAGCTCTTACAGCAGAGGTGATTTACCCATGACTGGGAATGGAGCTTGCACTGCTAGCCTCTAAACACTGATTTTTCAGACTGCCAAGCAGTCATTTTGCATGTCTGATCTTATCAGGGACTTTTAAATTATTTGAAAGTAATGAATGACAGCATCTTTATCAATCTTTGCCTTTCGCTATTCAGCCTCCAATAGTAACAGATGTCTTTATAGACATAAAGTTGCCTGAAAGTATTGATGCAGTGTTTGATTTTGAATTCTGCTTAAAGGAACTCTTATCTCTTATAAGGAAG